TTCAACAGTTAAGTGTAATATTTGGGTTAATAAATTCTGTAGTATTCTTACTACAGTGCAAAAAGAATCTTTCATTAAGGAATTTTACATGAATCACTGACTTCAGTCCCCTTTGGACAGTTGAGACAAAAGATTTGAGCTCGACCAGACTGCAACAGCAGGGCCTGCCCTATATAAACATGAATGTCTGACCAGTGGTGGACAAAGTATTCAACGACATGACTTGAGTGAAAGTAAAGATACTCTTGGTCAAATATTACTCCAATACAAGTGAAAGTTGTTCAGTCATTTTTTTTTTTACTTAAGTGAAACTGCACCAACTGATTAACATACAAGTAAAGAACAGTCCCTTCATAAGTAAAAAGAAAGAAATGTGAATGGCTCGTTTCTCCTCTGACACAACACATACCTGTGTGCTTGGCTGTTCAGGTACGTTTGGGCAGCGATCGCAGCACACCGAAATTCTCGCGCGAGCCCGTTCACATCAGACGCGCATTTCTCCACGCCGGTCGACAAGTGGTTCTGCTCCCAGCTGTTGTCTCCGTCACATTTGGGGCTGTTTTTCCATCATGGGTAACTGCCCGGCTTGACACATTTGCTCGCGGCTCGCGCAGAAAATAGACCAGACGCCGAAAGGATCACTGCGGGGCAGCTCCGCGGCCAGTGTGGATGACACAATCGGTTAACATGGGTGCCGAAAGGAAACTAGCTTCGCTTCTCGGCGCTTCGAGGCTATTCACAGCGCTTCCGCGGGCGGTGTGGCCCTGGCGTTACGTGACCAAAGATCGTCTCTGCCTGAAATACACATTACTCTGCCAGGAAACCAGTCGATACCAGCACCGTTCTACAGTAACAAAAAATGCATTTTCGCTGGTAAAAAAATAACTCGCCAGAGTGGCGAGTAGTCTTAAAAATTTACCAGCCAGAGACAAAATCTAGCTACCTGTAATTGGCGAGTGGCGAGTGTTAGTTTTGGACCCTGTCTCTACCATCAGCACAGTTTGAAGGTGGACACCCAAGATTAGTGTCTCCAGTTCAGTATCTGACCAAATGTCTAATCCTCTGCTCCTGAGATATGATGAGATATGATGTTGAATAATGGCTAAAAAACTGTTTTTGCATAACATTATGATGTCACAGTGAGGTTGACCTTTGGGCTCTAAAATGTCATTACTTCATCATTTTATCCTATTAGACATTTGTGTGAAATTTTGTCATAATTAGTGTATGAATCCTTGAGTTATGGCCCACAACCTGTTTTGTGAGGTCACAGTGACCTTTGATCTTTTACTATCAAATTCTAATCAGTTCATCGAGTCCAAGTGAACGTTTGAGCCAAATTTGAGAAAATTCTGTTGCGGTGTTCTCAAAATATCGTGTTCACAAGAATGAGACAGATGCAAGGTCACAGTGACCTTTGACCTCCAAATTTAATCAGTTCACTGTTGAGTCCAAGTGGAAGTTTGTGCCAAATTTTAAGAAATTGTGGCAAGGTGGTCTTGACATATTGCATTTACTTTGGCAAGATTTTTCAGGCCATGCTAACAGAAATAGTTTGGAAGCAGTCAAGACACAAAACAAAAGTCCACCAGTGTTTTTTCATAACACTGACAAAAATTGTAACAGAATATTACATAACAGTGTTAAAACCCATCTGGAGCTACTTTATCTTTTTCTACAGGCAGGTAAAGTTGTGGGTAGTGATTAAACAGAAAGAAATGTAGATGTACACCTAAGTTCTACAAATAAAATATTGCTACATTACAGTAATAATGCTGAAGACTTTTATTTAAATAAATGTCTGTTAAGTCCAAGCTGCAGCCTCAGAGGCTGAAAAATGAAGCCAATGCCAAAGTCCCAAAAACAGCAGTTCCTCTAAAGACCACTTGAGGCTGGCTCCAAAAGGGAGTCAATCCTCATAGACCCCCATGTTAAGATGCCTTTGTTAAAACGTGTTGTTTACAGCTTGGTGCAAAAACACAGATTTGGTCTCTACAGCTAATTTTCCCTTCATGACAACTGAACAGAGGGGTATTTCTTATATAGTTCACCCCTTTACATTTTAGTAAGGTTTCAAGTTCCCCCTGGTTAAGGATGTGGCTACTTCAAGTGTCAGGCTGTCTGCGAGGCAACACTATAATCTATGAGGCAGATCCATCCCTCGCTCGTCCACAGCTCTACCCTCCAATCCAATAAGATGGGGACGGCCAAAGTGCCAAACTCAAGGCTTCAGAGTGGGTCTTCACAAACCTATGGCTAAAGTCATGGTGCTTACTCTCATTATTTTTTTTAAGTCTGGTTATTGTTAAGTCCTATCTATCGCCGAATGAGAAAACACAATGGTGATTGAGCCTATGGTCCACTGCTGAAAGCCCTTGCATTTGCGCAATTTTGTACTGGGTGTCTGTGGCAACATTCCTGGGAAAAAACAGAAGTAGCGTGGAGTCATTAACAATCCACCCTCACACACATACATGCACATACACAAACATACACACACACCATCTATGCTGTGGTTATACTTTCATCTCACCAGCTGCAGGGCTCATAAAACAAGCTGATATAAATAAATTTACCAGCCTGGTTTCAAGTCTTAATCTGCAAACAAACACACTGTAATTATCAGTTATCGCTGCAGGTACCCAAAGAGAACTAAACAGAGATCTTCGAGATTATTAAGACACAGTGACAACCAATTTGAAAACCTGTGAATCTCTGAATACGATAAAACCTTGTTTTGAAATCCTTTTATGAGCAATGGAACTATGGAGAGAGGCAATGATTTAGCAAGCATGCACAGATGTTTTTGGAGGTCTGTGATCTCATCATTTACTTCAGTTACAACAAGGGTACAACAATCCACCAAAATCTTGGTGCATTCCTTGAGCATCAAGAAGGAAACATAACTCAAGATGTACCAGAACTCTGCTCCTGAGATTAGTTCTGCAGTGCTGAGTTGAGCCTGCCTGCTTCTACACACTGACACTATTTTAAACCTCCACCAGTTGGCACATGATTAGAGAGTGGCCGGCGTCTGGAATGAACAAGGAAAAGAGTTGAACTGGATGTCTGCTAGGTCGACTACTACATCTGTGCAGGGACAGGTATTACAGTTATATGAGAAATAACCACCACATGCTACCCAAATAGGGTCTGAAGTCAAAATGATGACACAAGTTGTCAAGAATGCCAGACTATTACTTCATATTTCCAGCAATAACAGCACAATCTCCACATAACATCACAATTAGCACATACACAAAGCACACTTTGTTAGTGGTTTTGGTGTGTGTGTGTGTGTGTCTGGACACGCATTAAAGGTTCTGTATGTGGCATTCAGAGCACTGACATGGCAGGAAACCACTGTTTGCTATGTAAAAATATGATGCAGTGATGTCCTGAAGTTATGACCCTTGTTGGTGCAAGCTGCTTTTTTTTTTTTTTTTTGCCGATTCAGCATGTCAAATCAACGTCAGAGATGGTGGGGCCCGTCAGTGAATGAAATCACTCTGACTGGCAGTTCAGCTCAGTGCACCAGAAAAGAAATGGAAGTGAGGAAAGTAAACAAAGAGTACAAGTCAAGAGGAAGTGAGACCAAAACATAAGGTAAGATTTCTTCTGGCCATTGAGCTTTTTAGCAGAAAAGATTTGTGATGGTTTGTGTAACTGTTCACCGGCACATAAATATGCTCAGGTCTTTCAACATTGGAATGTATTGTTAATGTGCTAATTAGCTAACTAGCATCAAGACTGTCTGCTGGTGTGGAGAGTTATTTCCTCTCAGGCAGGTGGAGAATATATGTGCTGGTTGGCTGTTGGCTATAGTCTTTACGATGTGTTCATTGCAACTTTCTGGCCAAGACATTTGGCTTTGCTCTCTGAAGTCATTTTGGTGTGTCTAGACCTTGTAAAAGAGATGTCTGTAAATCAATGAAACATTTTTTCGTGCGTCATAACCCTCATGAAGTAAGTTGTATTACTATCGGAACTTGATGGATTCGGTCCAATAACATTTCTAAAGTCTTGACGAGCTGCATCGTTAAATCATTTTATCCCCATTCAAGTTAGCGAAGCGCTGAACCGGAAGTTAGCCACTTGGCCAGCTCATACACTCAGAATTTTGCATAGAGACAATTTAAAATCTGTGACCTCGTATTACCTTGTGCAGGTTCCCCTTGGAGTCTCCCAGGAAGGCAATGGTATGTCCCGCCCTCACGCTAACAGCCACAGCAGTGAGACGAGCAGATGGGCTGTCCAATATGGTCTCTGCTTCTACAGCCATCCTGCTGGCCATCGGGCTGGGGGTGTGGTCAGAGCCGCAGGGGTATGCATCCAGAGTGTTCTAATAGCAGGGAAACAGGAGAGGAAAAAATCAGTGTGGTGATTCTAACATGTCTTGTCAGGCAAAATGAATTTTAGATCAAAAGAATAAATGACACACATCATATTGCATGCACAATGTAAGCCAAAACTGGTTGTTTTGTGCAAAAAAGAAGCCCTTTAAGTGAGCTGTTATTCAGTTCCTCAGCAAGGAAGCCAGTTACCAAAAATAAAACAGCAGTGTTGCTATTGTGGTCAGTAAAATCCCGGGGGGGCAAACTATCACAAGATTCCAGAGAGTTCTACACTCGGTGCTTAAAAGCTTACAGACAATTTGTTTTTGCTTCCACAGTTTGGCAGTCGGGAGTCTTTGCTCTGGCGGCAGGGTTGTTGCTTTTTGCTCTGGGCAATTTATTTTACCACAACAATGTTTGAAAGCAGGGTCATTGTTTTGCTATTGGTAATCTTAACAATAGGAAGCGGAGGCAATGAACCTCAGAGCTCTGCCTGCTGAAGGCTACTTGTTATGATGAATGCAGTTGGCTATGGCTATGTAGTTGTTATGAATGGCCTCCTTACTTGACCTGCTCTTAAGAAAGAGAGATTGCTGGTATACAGCACAAAACTGTCCGACATTAAACTTGGATGTAATAACACAGCTGAAGTGTGCAAATAGCTACATGCAAATCTAAGTTAACCATAGGGAGTGAAGGATGGTTTAGAAGGCCTGTTAAGTCCACATCGTGAGAACTCAGCCATTAGAGGAAAACAAGCAGGGATGACTGCATGCTAAGAATAGCCCTAAAATACATTATGACTTTTAAAATAGTTATGAAGTTATGACGTCCAGTCTAAAAATATGGCCTGGAAGCTTAAAGACTAGCGTGTGACTGACTGACCTGGCTGATGAGAGCCTGTGATTATGCTATAACGACACATACAGGCTGCAATCATGTGGACATTTACCACAATCACTGAGGGCAGTAATAACCAAGAGGGAGTGAGATAAGGAGGAAAGATTACCAAAGTTGCATTTCAGCCATTGATAGAAGTCCTGAATCCTGATCATCAATAAGACCTAGCGTGAGTCTGTCCCTGGTGCAGATGGACTGTCCTGGCAAATACTGAACAGGGATGAAGCTGTACTGGTGTTGTTTGTGTACACAGGGGTCCAATTGAGATTTGACATCTTAATAACACTGTAAATCTCTTTTCAGTTCCAGATCGCTCTTCACTGTTCCCCTCGAGCCATGTGGTTTGTTTCGAGTCCCCCTTTGTACACTGTTACTTTCAAAAACATATACTGATATTGAAAGGATAGTTCAGATTTTTTGAAGTGGGGTTATATGAGGTTCTTATCCATGGTCAGTGTATTACATATAGTACATGTCGGTCAGTGCAAAGCAGGCTCAAGTTCCAACACTCCTGCTCCTGTGGATGGGGGCAGCAGCAAAAGGGATTTTGGTCACCTTGAAAAAGTCTCACCTAAAATGAACTATGTCAGCTTAAGTGTACGATATAGTGAGAGTATTTTCAGTGCTTTACCTTTCTGTCAAGTGCTTGTTTCAACAGGGATGCTGTCAGCACTTAAACGGAGCTAAAAAATTGCTGCTGCCCCCGTCCACAGCAGTACATTGCTTAGCTTCCATGTCAGGCTCCAGCCTGCTTCTCTTAACTGGGGCATGCAGACTGACATCTTGTGTAGGTAATATACTGGCTATGGATAAATGCCTGTAAAAAGCTGTGTGTGTGCCATTTGGTGTGCTCACAGTCAATGGCGCTACTTGCAGATGCCGGGAACTACCGCAGGAGATCGCTACTGCACATACTCCAAGCAATGACCCCAGACACCAGTCACCAGATTTTTGATAAATATTTATCAGTAATGTGTATATAATGACTAAGTGGGTAAAGGCAAATGATAGAACAGCTAGAACAGTCTCATAAATTTAGAAAATACATCACTTTACTGTAATGCAGCCTTTAAAACCAGGATAGAACAATACTTCTAAAATCTAAGACAATATCTGGTCTCATATCATAATATCAATATAATATCAATATATTGCCCAGCCCTTACTTGAATCTGTTCTTTCCACTTCCTATCCTACCATTTCCTTTCTCTTTCACTTTTTGCCTCTGATTTTCTTCTCCACTGTACATCTGTATCTCTTAATTTCTTTGTCTTTTTCTCCTTCAAAGCCTTGTCTCTGCCTGGTGTGCTTTTATCCGTCCTTGTCAGACCTTGTTAAACATTACCCTCAACCCCGCCCCACTAAGTATGGGTAATGCCGCCGATCGATCTCTCCCTGCCCAGCAATTCTATTAAATTACACTGCCCGCACTACCTTGTCCCCTAGAGGCAATCTGTTGTACGTGGCTGCACAGGTTGAGAGGTCAGCGCACCTCTATGTCCTCAACACAGGAGGAAGTGATAATAGAGGAGCATGTAAATCTACCCCATGATGTCCATCCAAGTGCAATGTTTACATGCAGTTAACACCTTAATGCACTCACTTGAACACGCCACATAAAGTCAGGATTTCCACAGTCAGTGTTATGAGAGGGTCAATCTAAATACATCCCTCCTCCACAGCGTAGCTTTGTCTGTTACAAAAATGTCAAATTAAATCTCATCCTCTTTGAAAGAAAAAAGACTTTGCTGGAACAGGACAGCCTGGACAGCTTCACATGCATCATGAAACAAGCTTACGCAGGAAAAGGTTTTTACTCGGTAGAGTCATCAAAGAAAAGAATTCCCTTCTTTAAAAAAGAAAAAAAGGGCGGCACGGTGGTGTGGTGGTTAGCACTCTCCCACAGTCCAAAGACATGCAGATTGGGGACTAGGTTAATTGATAACTCTAAATTGTCCGTAGGTGTGAATGTGAGCGTGAATGGTTGTTTGTCTCTATGTGTCTGCCCTGCGATAGTCTGGCGACCTGTCCAGGGTGTACCCTGCCTCTCGCCCAATGTCAGCTGGGATAGGCTCCAGCCCCCCCGCGACCCTCAAGAGGATGAAGCGGTTAGAAGATGAATGAAAAAAGAAAAAAAGAACTGGACAACATGTTCTTCTCTGAACTGGACAATGACAACCAGGAGAAAGTCATGCATATTGGGCTATGTAGTGACTAGGGCTGTAGACTCCTGGTCGACTATTTGGTCTTTTGGTTACTTTCATGAGGAGAAATGTGCTACATCAATAGCTTTCCAGGATTAATCCATTATTTCCTGCGGTGGGACAGGGACAGGCTAAGTTACCTGTGAAAATGGGGGTGTTTTCAAAACATCCCTTTTGTTTACACAACGTTGAACTCGCCCACCCTCACGCTCAGCGTCGTGGTGATGCAGACCTCCTGTCTGTTTCTGTATACTGACACTGTTTCCCTCAGTGGAAACAAAGCTTGTATTTCACAGATAAGAAATAATAAATTGTGAAGACAGTAAAGCCTCCACTAAATCAGCATTTTAAGAGGTGTGTGTGATCTATAGTTCAAGGATTTATACTTCGGGATTTATCCTGGCTTCATATGAGCAGAGGAAATAACCGCTCGTCGCCAGGCTAATGTAAACAATGTAAAATGCCATAGGCTGGTGCTAATAACGTTAGCATGTTGTATTTGCTTGGAAAACGTGTTTAGTATAAGACAGTTGTTTTGTCGGTGAACTTTGTGAGTTGTAATGGAGCCAAATTGTGTGACGTTACCTTCGTTAAATATTGCTGTTGTCCCTGGTTTTATATGAGAAAAGGGAGCGATCACTAGCCACTAGGCTAATTGAATCAATGTAAAATGCCATAGACTTGTGCTAATAACGTTAACATGTTGTATTGGTGGGGGAAATGTGTCCAGATAAAGACAAGTGTTTGTCTGTCAATGCTGCGATTTATAATGAAGCCAATTTGCTTACTTGTGTTTGAAATTGTCTCTATTTAGCCATTTTTAATGTGTGTTTTGAATCAACTAAACTTTACATCACTTAACAGAGTCCTCCACCGCCAGCTAGTGTTTTGGAGGTGTAACTGCAGAGTGAAACAGACACACCACAGCAGAAGTAAAAATAACATGCAGATATTTTCTTTTCCCACGACTAATTGATTAGTTGAAGATATGTACGACTTCAGTCGACCAAGATTTTCTTAGGTTGACTAGAGCCCTAGTGACTGGTTCACTGTGTTCCACTCTGCCTTCAGCTTTCTATTCAGAGAAAGAAAATATATTCCAGTATACAACCGCACAGGGAGAGGAATGAAATATGTAAAAATGTCTTCCTGTCAACAGTCATTCTAAGCACATATGCTGTTTTTCAATAACACCCTGTCACCCAAACATACAATTACACACACTGACACATGGGAGTGGAACGGAGTAACTGCCATCTGGTTCAGCATGGTGACCACTGAGCGGTTTCACTGGAGAAAGTGGAGGTCAAGTGCATTGCTCAAGTGTATCTCATTCGTCTGAATTTAAAAGTCAGGACAACATAAATTCAATGGTATAGTTAAGAATCAGGGTACATGAGTGGAGTACAAATTCGAACGGATTCAAACCAATAATTTATTAGTGCTCATTTTAGATTTTGGCAGAATCATGGTATTACGATTTTCAATATCATCAGTAAACACAGATGTTCAGGGTGCCCACGAGCTCATCTGCTAGTAGGCAGACATGGAGTAGGCGCCCCATGTACAAAAGCTGTGTCCTTGCCACAGCAGCCGCGGGTTCGATTGCAAACCATGGCCCTTTGCTGCACGTCATCCCCACTCTCTCTCTCTCTCTCTCTTTCACCCTAAATCTGTCCTATCCAAAAAAAAGGCAAAAAAAGGTCCCAAAATATTTTTGAAAAATTACAGACACTCACATTTCTTTCAACTGACTGGAGAGGCTGTAATGAGGATGTGTTGTATGCAGTCTACATCATGCGCCACCAGAGGTCAGTTTTGTGGAACAGGCAGTTGAGCTGACAAACATGGTGGCTGGTTGCAAGTGGTGGGGATAACACTAAATGAATGTAAACAGGCCAGCAGGGAGATCTCAAGAGAAAAAGAGCATATTCTCACATCTAACTCAGTGAATTAAGGGTTTATTTGAACGAAACCAGAGATAGTGATTATTGGAACTGTGGACTAACTAGCTAAACAACTAACAGGACTAACCAAGATGGTTTTGCTGAGTTTTATAATGTTTCTGTTGAGTTAAAAAGAAATGTGTTTTACAAAGCGTTGAGAAAGCAATTGAAATAATGCTAGTCTTAGTTCAAAAGAGAAGAACTTGACATTTTGTGAGTTCATTCTATTTATTTAATAGACTGGAAAAGCTAAGAGAGCTTGCAGAACGTAGTGAAGTCATGTACCTTGTAAAGTAAACCTAGGTGAAATTACAGGAGGGTATGAACGTATGAAAAATAAATCTCACCCAGGCCTAGCTCATTTGTTCTCACTTGAAAGCAACAGCCCTAATAATTATTTGACAAGTAACCATACAAACAAGCCATTCATTCTGTTAAACTTACCTCTGGCAAGTTGGCACAGTTGGATTTGACTTCATACTCGATGTAGGCTGCCTCCAGTCCTGCTTCTTTCCCCACCTGTGTGTAGCACAGGTCTCTGGTAGAGTTAATCCTGCGGTCCACGTCTTCAAGGTTAAACATGCAGAGGGCAGAGTCCTCGCTGGGCCGAGTTGATGAAGCCAAACGAGTGGAGAAGACACCAAGAAGAACTTCTGAGCCTTGGCTCTCTGTACCCTCCTTGGTGAGCCCGAGCTGGACGGCTTGCAAGAGGTTGTAAATTTTTCCTGTCCTGGATCGGCATGTCAGGGGCACTTCCACATAGGAGTAATAGGCCTGGTCATCCAAACAAACACGAGAGACGTAAGTGCAGTACTCGCGTGACTGTGACTTAAGGTCCCGTCTGTAGAAAAGGAAGTACACATGCTGACGGTGGGCAAATGAAGCTACAAAGTGATGGTCATATTCTGACAGACGGCCAGCCACAGCCAACTTGGCTGTCTCCTCGTAAGAAAAGACAGGTTCCTGGGCAAGGTTTCGTGTGGAAATCGGTGGGTGGCTGCTAGTGTAACCCCGCCCCACAAACAGCACTGGCTGCCTGTCAGGATGAGAGCGAACCACGAGTCCCACGGTGCTAACATTGGGGTGGTTAGCGGCTACGTATTGAGTATCCACCGGCCTCTCTGTTGAGAAAAGTACTACATTCACAGAATCCAGACTACGTTTCTGGCAGATTCCCTGGTTGACGCTTCCACAGGTAATAAGTTCCATGGAGTAAGGATTGACCAGCAGGAGCTTGTTGTGGTTGCTGGTGAGCCTAGCCTGAGGGCAGTTGCTCTCAGTGACAGGAGGCAAGCACTCCCGACTGTCAGTGACAGGTCCAGTGTCATCCTCAAGTTCAGGATGGAGGAATCCATCCAACTGGAACAGGTGATCTCGGGCTCCAACGTAGACCCGACTCACACTGGGGTTGGGATGCAGGGCCAAGTGCTCAAACAGAGTGTCATTCCGAATAAAGGTGGGATAGAGACTGGAGGGGGAGGAGTCTGATCCTTGGACAACACCACTAGGAATCAAGGCGAGGGGCCAGTCGGAGGTTAGCAGCAGGAGAGACAGCAGCGTTTGGACTGCTAACACTGAAAGACAATGGACCGTCCCCGGAGGCATGGCAGCAGAGCTGAGGGACAGAAGACAGGACAGGTTTTTTGAGAGAATGTCTGTATTCAAACAGATAAATTAGTCAAGAATTCCCAAATCATCACACATTCAGTTCAGAGACTCCAGTTATTGTGTTCACTATATGGAGTGGATTAATTGATGTCATTTAATACAGTTTTAATTCTGACAGTTTCACGTAAATGATATTAAAACTGTTCGTGACTGTCTGTGCACAGACACTCTAGAACAGTGATTTCCATGCACGAAGCCATGGACCAAGACCAGACCATTGTGGCGCATTAGTATGCAAGGCCATCTTATCTTCTTCACTTGCATGTGCTGTGCTCCTAGAACTGTTCCAACTACTTGACTTAAACTGGAATCAGACTCCTCCCTGCTGGGGCCACTGTGTCAGTGTCTCATAAGACAATAATAAGCCCCTTTTACACCGCCTGTTCAAGATGGGAATTTCATGCCTATGCTGCCTCCTTGTTCTGTATAAAGGGTACGATCGTGGAATAGGGAGACAGAGTTGTCTCCGTTTTAAGCCTACAGTAGAGGTAGTAACAATACGTAAACACGCCTGTAAAAAAGGGACAGCTGGCAGGATAGGATCATTGATGGGACAGGTGTGATGTTTTGACAACGTGTTACACGTGTGACCCACCACTGAGAGATTTAAATAGTAGCTGATAGCAACTAACTCAAACAAGACAATAAGCAGCCAAAAATGTCCTCTAATTGTAAAAAACAATGAAGTCCGGGAGCCAGCCGCCATATAACATGGACAGCAAATGATTGTTATTACCATGTTATGCCATTAATATTGACTAGAAAACGCTGCCGAAGTGTATGTTATATGTCGCACTAGAGGCTGATGCTGCTGTGTTACATGTCACGCCCCTCACACCTCCTCTGATTCCGTGATGCCGGCATCCTGTCTAAAATCACACTCTGGGACCGCCATTGTTTGGTTCTGTGTAAAAATGCAAAGGCATCATGCAGAAGGGACTTTGTAGCGGCCCCATGGCACGATCTCTGTGTGAAAAAGGGTTACAGAGTCATGAACTCGCCAGCCAGGGAACTGCATTATTTATCTAGCAGCATCGACGTCATTCCTCTTTAGCCTCACCATGTTTACATTCATGTATGGAAAAGTGCCTTGTGCTCTCATACATCAACAACATACAACACTACGTTGTAGAAATGGTCAACCTAGGCAAGACAAGGCAAAAAACACACCAGCCTGTTTGTCTATTATGAAGTTTCTTCCACAATAACACAATAGGGATGAAAAGAGCATTTATCACACTCGACAGACATTGGGTAGATTAGACTAGACATTATCATACACATAACACCTGACACTGACTGATTTACAAAAACCAAAGTCACATGAGGGTAACTTCGGAGGAAAGTGGGTACATAAAGTCCCTACACTGTGAGATACAGAACGCAGCTGATGGATCTACTTAGAGCTTCACCTGACCTTTCATCAAGTTTGCAACAGCCACAACTTACTGTGCACATGCATGAAAGCACCCTCATCACAGGCGCACTGCGGTACTTAAATCAATAGCACTACACTTCTTATAAATGAATAATCTGTGAGCTTGTTTTGTACATTAACTACAAACTAGAATTACCGCCCCGCAGTTATATGCCTCCGTGCACCAGTCAAGTTTCTTTTACAGTTTGACTATGAAAACATGGATGCATAACACATCTCTCCCCCAGCACCACAGAAGATCTATACAATCAGCGCAGTTTCAGGGTGAGTATCACTAATACAGTATCTGAGCAAATGTCTCCCCTTCCGTTCCTGAGATATGACACTGAGTAATGGGCAAAAAAGTGTTTTATGCAGAGTAATATGATGTCACAGTGAAGCTGACCTTTGACCTTTTGGATATAAAATGGCATTACTTCTTTACTGTATCCTATTAGACATTTGTGTGACATTTTGTCATTATTAGGATATGAATTATTGAGTTATGGATAGAAACAAATTTTGTGAGGTCACGCTGACCTTGACCTTTGACCTATGACCATCAAACACTCATCAGTTCATTGTTGCATCCAAGCGGACATATGTGCCAAATTTAAAGAAAATCCCTTGAGGCTTGAGCAATTGCTTTCACAAGCATGGGACAGATGGATGACATACATATGTACTCATAGACAGACGGACAACCCGAAAACATAATGCCTCTGACCACGGCTATCACCGGTGTTGAGGCATAAAGAAAAAAAATTAATGGATGAAAATTTAATTATTTCAATATGTCTTATTATTACTATTATTATTATTAAAAAATCTAACAATCAAAATGACAGACAAGAAAGACTAATGCTCCCCTTCTTTCTTACCCCGACACTGTCTCCCCTTTTCTGTCTTCCTTCTTCTCTTGATGGATGAAAAAAAGGGTCTGATGTGCAGTGTGGGAGTATTACAGTCTACAAACATTGCTGAAAGCAGACTGCAAAGGTGTCAGCATAGGGAGTGCAGTGGTAAAAATTGTCTGCAATTTTCTCTTTTGCAGCTGCATTTCATTCAACATAGCCAGTTAAAGGAATTTAAAAAGTTTTGTGTTGGTTTATATTTTCACACAAAGATCTTCATTTTTACTATAAATGCATATCAGTTCTACCTGTTAATTATTATTAGTCTCCTTGAATTCTAATATAATCTGTATCTGCCCTAAAAATAATAACCATTGATCCCTCGAGTACTCGGTTCCTACCATGCACTGAACAGTATATGGGCCAAGCAAACTGATCACTTCTGTTCCACTGAGAAGTTCTCAGTGGAGAAAGAGGAAGAGGGTACAAACTTTACTTTTGACCTTTATCACTCTGCAGAAGTCTGTTCTTTCTGCAGAGTGACAGTGTTAAGACAAATAATAAACTATTGTTTGATAAGAAAATTAAATTGTTTTTATTTATACTATCTATGACTACACCAAGTGGCATTAGACTTTTCAAACAACCTCTGGAGGATACCTTAAGCAATACAAACTATCAGAGACAAGGGCTCCTCACCATTTGTTTCCAGTGATGTTTTACAGAGGCATGTCACCTCTTGACCTCCCAGCAGCTCGGGTTTAAAGACACATCCTTCTGGACACAACCTGCAAAACAAAGGAAAGAGAAAATACATCAGTATACTCTATACTAAGACACCAAGGGGGATTTACAGCAGCAAACATAGTTGATAAACTTCACCATAATGGACATTACCACTAGCCTGCATGTATACCACAGACTCAGATGTTTAAATACCTTGTATTTTTTGGCATTGCTGCGGTCCATTGAGAGTCGTGGGAAGCTCATACCCATTGCAATTCCTGTCAGACCTATGTCTGACTGGCTACATCCGTTTCTTGCGTGTAAAAAGCCCTCAGCAGAGACCAAGTCAAGTAGTGTCAGCCCAAGAGGGCTTTCAGTGCCACACACTCTGTCCCTGTATACAATCCTCCTTCATTGCTAGGATACAAGGCACAAAACCCTCTGGCTTCACAGTGCTTGCCAGAAAAACAAGCTGCCGTGAGGTAAAGGAAGATGGCATGAGAACCTTGAGAGTAGAATTCCCTTGTTTCAGTAGCTGAATCTGTATTTTCACACTGATTTTGTGAAATGCTGTCATATTTAGCAGTCAGTTATGCCACTAAATTCTCTTTTTCACTCCACATAATACAAATCCTCCTCTTTCCCACTCATTATCTCCCTCTTCTTTCTATCCACCTCTCCTCCTCCATCGCCTCCCAACACTCCATCACTGGCACAGAAGCGGGATTATCTCTTACGAGTTCAGGCGGATCTCCAGTGGGCTTATCCAAAGGGGAGGTTGGGGAAAAAAGACGGAGACAGACTGAAAAAGACACTATTCACTCCACTGAACAGACCAATCCTCAACAAGTACACACACATACATACACACACCTCTTTCGCTGGCTCACGGAGAGCATTAGAAAGCTTGCTTTGTTGGTGGCAATCTCCTGTATGTGGGAATGAGGGTAAAGGCCTGGCAAGAGGCCAAATATGGAAAGAAAGGACACACAAAAAAACTACTTACCAGAGCACAATCATAATGATCTTTGTTATCTATGTAATTTCAACCAAATGTGATTTAAATCTAAAACTCCTCAGCAGGCACTTCCTCACAAATGTTTGTTTTTCCACTGAATGGCATGCTCATGTACAACTACCTCCTGTTCCAGTACAAGCAGAGGCACAGAGATCAAACAGACTGACTGATGCCTCAGTGACCGAACCCGAAATCATCAAATCTAAACCAAAAGCCAGACTTGCTCCTTTGACCCCAGGAGGGTGGGCGAGTGAGTTTTTAGTACTTGGTAAAAAGGTGAAACTCTGTGCCTGCAGATCCTGAACTCTGCAGTCAGTGCGTCACGACTCTCTGGTGGACAGATGCTTTACAGCCCTATGCAGATAATCCTGAGAAAGCACCGGACCGGAGCCTAACGGAGCACAGACAGGAATGACAGGCATGTTAACTCATAGAAGCACTAGTTCAACAAATACAGTGCTTCTCCTGTTTCCGCCTCTTGGAACAGTGTCGGATTTGAGCGCAGGGTTGTCTTCTCCAATAACTCTCAAAATTCTCAGGCTGTCACCCCACTCATCCAAGAGTAACAGGCCAATCAGGTCCTCATCTATCTTAATTTGCTATTTGCTGAAAGCTGCAAATCAAAAACTGCAGTAAACTGGGCTGCCATCGCTCTGGACCGATCCCAACTGGAAGAGGTTTCCCTTTCCTGCAGTGAATAATCCAATCAGACTCAACGTCATTCAGAGTTTGAGACACATGAGAGCAAGAGAATGGACTTCTGATTCAATTCTCTAATGTTAAAAATCACATTTCATATCCGGATGGAAGTCTTTTTTTCAGTGAGTTCAGCAAGCCAAAAGGTATCAGTTTGATGAGAGGAGAGAGGAGGGAAATTGTGCCTCTAATTGCTTTATCTAAATGTTCCTTTACTTTTAGGTAATGGACTCCACCTTGTTTCAGCACTGTCTGCAGAAATAGTACTTAACTGAGTTCACAGTAGATAGTCCAGCAAAACACACAAGATAGCCTGACAAATAGAACATGTAGTAATGAAGGATGCACAAGAAATAAACCTGATAATTTGGTCATCAGTCCAGCCAGCAGTGTGCCATGAATTCACTTCATTATGCTAATGCCGTCAATCAATGTTCAAACACAGAAAAGTGTACATTTGTGGTGACCCAGAGTTGGCTTGGATTGTGTCATTTCCCAGAACAAACAGCAATACACTCTCTTGGTAGGTGGCTCACACCTAGCTCAATGCAATTTGGTGCAGTGCCACTTTTATCACCTGGAATATGCTATAGGGACAAATGTGTCTTAAGGCTGTATTCAGACAGATTTTCACTGTATGACAAAAAATAAAACGCTTTTTAATTTCAATGAGACCAGCCTGCTGTCCCGCTGTGTTGGCACAGTATGCAAGTCTAGGGGTGGAATTACCCACTGTGCCGACACATTCTGGGGTAATTCCACTGTTTACGTTGCAATTGCTGAGATGAAATGACAGTCACCACGTTTACTTGTACAATCCGTCTTTGTAGTATAATAAACCACTGTGCAGTGTTTTGGCATCTGATAAGCTTTTCAGCTATGATCTAATGTCTTTTACTCAAACTGGCCTTTGTGGACTGTATTTCATTTACTGATGGGCAACAAAAGCAACATGTCCCCAACAGCACAGCCCCTTTTAAAATGCTGTGCGGTTTTTGCTCTGAATGCCAAATAAAAGATTAGCTGGTAGAAAAGTCTTGCAACGGGCTGTGCGTATATCTAGTAAAAACTTAGTTGTTAAAATGGCTAGGTCGATATATCGGTCAGTGTCAGCTTATTAGAGATATATGTGCATGAGCATGTATGTCAGCCCAAGTAAAAATAAATGAAATCTGTACAGAAATGCAGAAGATATGTTTGAAACTGTTAAGAAACTGTGACGCTATAGACCGATTCACTATGACGTTGCACTAACAACAACAATCACTTCCAGGTAGACAACTGGCAGCTGATCACAAATGCAGAAATGTAAAATTGGCAAACTTGTTGATTTCTGTTGTCATTTTCAACCATAACTGTGACGTTTAAAGCAGCTGTGCGGAACTTTTTACCAATGATAAAACTGTCCCTAGTTCGTATCACCCCCCCTTGAAGATCTGCATATTTATTTGAACCCAACAGCGACAAAAAAGCCTTTCTCTATATGGCTATTTAGCGTAGCCTCGCTCGGGTCGGACACAGTGGAAGTCAGCAAACCAGAATACGGTACCTGGAGGCGGAAGTAAGTCTGCACGCCCGCAGCGGCCCGCAGCCATTAAACCGCAGAAGAAGAAAGAGCCATGTTTACGAGTAGGATTTAAGAAACAGGCTAAATGACATGTAGTAGGGAGTAGTGAATGATTTCGGACACATTGCACACTCTTGTACAGTAGGTGGTGGTATGCACCTGGAAGTTGTTTGTGATCTGCCAATAAATTGAGAGAAGAAGAAGAGCCGTGTTTACAGAGTGTTCTTCGAGTAAGCGGTACGCAACGGGCATTGCTGAACACATAACAGTTTACCAGATGTATCTATAAGGACTTGGTTGTACTTTCGATGCCATGGCGGATAAAGAAGGAGCACCATCTAAAAGAAAAAGAACAGAAGAACAGAAGAAGGCTAAACAGGACAGTGATAGGGCGCCAGCCCAAATGCGTGTAAACCTCGGTCAGGCATTCACCAAGTGGAGAGAGCTGAGAGATTTGAAAGGTTTTAAAAGTGATCCCGAGTTGGCCCTTTTCCTAATCGACAGGTATGTAATTTTTGTTTTTATTTAGAGAATATACCACAACTTGTCAGATGTTGTTTCACTTCAATATATGATGACATGGAAGTTATAAGCAAGCTAAATGTAACGTTAGTTGATGTAAACCGCTTTTGTCTAGTAACGTTACAACAAACGCCACAAAATTATCTGTGACTGTGACCATGAACACAAATAGACAGCAGGCAGTTGTCCTCAGTTTATAAGAAATTCCGAGCTACACCAGAACATTTATGATTTTCTTCTCGCTCTCCAAAACAAATGCGTGCGGTAATTGCCGGTTGCAGTCGAGATTTTACGAATGAAGCCAAATGCCAGCTGCAGTCGGAATTTTACACCACCAGGCTGTGGGTGTCATACCGGTTCGACCAAAGGGGGCTCTGTAATCAACGAAAACGTAAAGTTCTGCACAGCTGCTTTAAAGATATATAGTTAAACACTGTGGTCTGACCTAGTTGACATTTCTGCTGTGTTTATTTATTTATTTATTTATTCATTCTTTAAATATATTCTCTGGGGGCATTTTTAGCCTTTAATGGATAGGCCAGACAAGTGTGAAGGGGGGAGAGAGAGAGGGAGTGACATGCAGCAAAGGGCCACAGGCTGGAGTCAAACCCAGGCCGCTGCGGCAACAGCCTTGTACATGGGGCACCTGCTCTACCACTAAGCCACCGACGCCCCTGCTGTGCTTATTTTAAATTCTCTGTTGCTTTGCTATTATCTTTGATTAATCAAATCTACAGGCACAGAAGCCAAACAATATACATGCAATAATTCAAACCCATCATTCCAAATTATCTTCAAGCATTATAATGCAATGTAATCAATAAGGTCTAATCAACCTCCTTGCGCAGCGGTGTCGATACCGACACCACTGCCCTGACAAGCCAGACTCCGGGGGCCACTCACTTTTGCATGTGATACAAAATATTAAAATAGCGTGGTAGTGATTGACGAAAGACACGTGCCAAGGCCGTAACCCCCCACGTGCCAAGGACGTAACCCCCCCCCCCGTGAGGCAATCGCACAGCCCTATTATGTAGCTACTAGCTAGAGTGGTGCAAACTGATATTAAAATGTATATATTTTTTTAGTCAAATAATGTCAACATTTTCTGCAGCTGGGCCATTGTGTGTTGTGTTGGACCACATCAGCCCTGGCCCTTTAACAGCCTCATGAAGCCCGAGGATACTGGATGTGGTCCCTTGGCCCCAGGCTAACCTAATAAAGAGAGAGATGTATGGGTAAAGCAGTCAACTACTATT